GAGAGAGAGAGAGAGAGAGAGAGAGAGAGAGAGAGAGAGAGAGAGAGAGAGAGATGTGAACAGTAAATGCAAATGCATAGTTGTTGCTTGGGAGGTGGAGGGGCAAAGGAAGGCAGGTGAGAGCAACGGAGAGAAAGGGAGAGACAAGGGGGAGAGAGAGAGGGAGGAGAGAAAAGGAGAGACAGGGGGGGGAGAGAGAGAGAGAGAGAGAGAGAGAGAGAGAGAGAGAGAGAGAGAGACGCAAAGGGTTGATGTGAATCCATAGTTGTTGCTTGAAAGCAGTGACAATGTGTTGGCATATAGTGGCAGTATTTACAGCCTCTCTATATTTAGTGCTGAGAAGCTTGAATGTGATATCACTGATATGCTTATACAAGAAGCTGCATTCAACAAAGACACATCATGAAATATAAGAGGGTATATCTGTGGAGACGAAGCATGAATCTCAGGAGCGGCAGTAGGATTTTGCTTAGAAGTCGACTTCCGTATCTTGCCACCTCTCTCCTCCCCTCCTGGTCATCCCCCAGGCAATGGAAGTCGGGTTCTTAGCAAAATCCTACTTTGAAATCTAGGGCCAGATCCCACTGACAAAGAGGATTGGAATAAGTGTCTGAATCTGGACGTGTTCCACGCAAAGATGCAGAAAAGCAGATCAATCACAATATTTTGGACCTCTCCACAAACACGTCCAGATTCATACACTTATTCCAATCTTCTTTGCCAGTGGGATCTCGCCGCTAGTCGGGTTCTTAGCAAAATCCTACTTCGAAATCTTGCAACGCTTATCAGAAGAGTAAGCGGATCAGTCCCCACGATAACCTCGTTTCGACGTCTTGCGGCAGTTCCAAAGGTACAATGTTGATATCAACATCATGTCGGAAAATGGGCGAAAGATACGAGAGCAGCGACGGGCTAGCTTGCTTTCCTAAGGCAGAGAGTGTAGCGCTGTAGCTATCGTCTTCTTCCCCAGAACGGAATGGGTATATTGTCCCATACTGTTGGAGCGACCAGGAATTGAACCCACGATCTCGGGCTACCATCTTCTCCGGAGGACGATAGCCAAACCTCATGGAGGTATGTGGACAGAGTGGTGCTTTTATATGCTCATGATGATTGGGCATCATGTTAGGGCAAAGACCGTAGGGAGATCAAATGTTGTAGGCACGGGAGTTCCCGCCTCCTCAGGTGTCTGCTATCAGCTGCGGATCTGACGAGGTCGGGCAACGAAGTCACTGGACATCAGCAGAGGCTGGTACTCCTATCCTGCCGTTCTCCCAGGGCGGTACTCGACCTCCAGAGCGAGGCCTAGGGTTGCTGCAATTAGGTAGGAACAATTCTGCTCCTTAATCTCAGTGTGATATTGGGCTCATGGGCTAGATGAATAGAGTCTACTTCAGGTCCAGGTGCACCTGATACCTGCATTATTATATGGCTACAGTCGCAATGGTTGTACCAATGGGTGAGTATAGCTCATACATTCACGACCTCGAGTATTGCACACACACATCATCGCACAAGTCTCACGACCGCAAGTATTGCACACACATGTTGCATCGCTTCTGCTTATGCCTCGCTCTCTCCCGCTCTGCTTCCGTGTCCGGGCTTTCGCACGATAGCTTGACCAGCACATGAATTGCCAACCCTCCGCAGGTTACGACGTGCTTCGGAATGGGTGAGTATAACTCTGGAGGCCTTGCTCTATACAATACCAGGTTCTACCAAGACTGCTACATATCACTGGCCAAATCGGGGCGCAGTGCGAGGTCAGGTTTTTGGCCAGTGAGGCCTCCTTTAGCAGTCTTGGCCAGTGAGGCCCGACTCCCCAACTCGGGGCAGCGGGGGATTATTGACTTTCTCAACTGCATTTGGACGTTATGTTGCTCAGACGCATTCGAGAGATCCCGGATGCGAGTCTCTACTTGGGTTGCTCAGACTGAAACTTGGGGTTTTATTCTATTGTGTTGCTATCTGGGAAGTTCGCGAAAGCTTAAAGCTACTATCAGTCAGCAGGCTCTCATCACGCACGCGCTGTAAACAGGGGGAGCAGAGTTAGCTTTAACCGCAAGTACACCGCCCAGCCAAACTTAGAGAATTGGAAACGAGTCATTTGGAGAAGTGCGGATTCCTCTTTTTTTTCTTTTTTTTTTCTTTTTTCCCCTTCAAACCATCGACTCCAACTCCCAAGACCAGGGAACGGACCCCCAGGGTACCACTACCGTCTTCACCCACGAATAGAACGCCTGGTAGTTATCGCGGTATCTATAGGCTGGAAGTTGTGCCAAATACAGCTATAATGACCGGGCGTTTTATTCGGGTGAAGAGTAGCGAGCTCTACTCTGTGCGGGGAGTAGCACCCTAGATCCTAACCCCTACCTGCTTCCCCCGAATACAGTGCACGGTCATTATAGCTGCGTTTAGAGCGGAAGATACCCCAAATACAGCTATAATGACCGTACGTTGTATTCTGGAGAAGAAGGTAGTGAGAGATTGCAGGACTCTTATTCCTGCCAGGACCAGCTGGGGGGGACAAGCCAACTATCTCAGCTGGTGAACCCCAAGTGCCCCGCAGGGGGCCTGCGGGAGCGGACGGAGGATGTGGGGAATCGAACCAACGACCTCCTGAATGCCACTCGTGTGCTCTATCAACTGAGCTAGGCTCGGGGGAAGAATGTAGTGAGAGATTGCAGGACTCGTATTCCTGCCAGGACCAGCTTAAGGGGGGACAAGCCAACTATCTCAGCTGGTGAACCCCAAGTGAGCCGCAGGGGCGTTGGGGGAGCGGACGGAGGACGTGGGGAATCGAACTTACGACCTCCTAAATGCCCACTTGTGTGCTCTACCAACTGTGCTAGGCTGCTTCCTGCCTATTTGGGTAGTCGTCAGCAGGTCAGAAGGGAATGTGGGGCTAGTGCCAGCCATGGGAAGGCAATCAGCAGGCGGAAAGCTATGAAGGTGCTTTGACACACAGTTTCCAGACCTATAAATTTTAAGGAATACTCTCAGTACGTTGTGTTCCGGGGAAGACAGCAGGAAATCTCTGGAATGTACCGGACTGAAAAAGAAGTTAGGAGGGGAGGGAAATCTCTCAAATGTATGTGACTGAAAAAGAAGCGAGGAGGATGTCATTCTCATTGTTCCCTTTTTCCGTGTGCTGGAAATCTGCAGGGTAGGATGCTGGCAGTCGCTGGCAACAAGCTGAAGCTGGAGAAGGTGGTCATAACGAAGGGCAATTTCCGGCAGGAATCGGTTCCGCAGAAGGAGGCCGTCAAGGTGTGTTCACTCTTCAGAGTCTTCACCCAACACATGTGAACTTTGTGAAACTGCTCTTCTTTTTTTTTGTGGGGGGGGAGGGGGGGAACCATTTCTAAATGTATGTGTGTCATCCTTGCACGGTGGCGATGCTAATCTTCTCTGTATCGTTCCAATTTTAATGGATGTCCCGAAACTACTGAAACTGCTCTTCTTGTGCGTATTTGTCTCTCTTCTTCTTCCGCTTCTTCTTTTTGTTAAAAAAAAACAAACGAGAGACAAATACCCAAAAAGATTGAAACTTCTCTGCTTGTGCATCTCTCTCTCTCTCTCTCTCTCTCTCTCTCTCTCTCTCTCTCTCTCTCTCTCTCTCTCTCTCTCNCTCTCTCTCTCTCTCTCTCTCTCTCTCTCTCTCTCTCTCTCTCTCTCTCTCTCGTTTAACAAAAAGAAGAAGCGGAATAAGGACAAGCAGAACAAAAAAAATGGGCGGGTAGCCTCTAGCATCATGGGATCAATGATCAATGTGAGTCCAGGCTTACAGCAGGATTTTAATTTTGAAATCGTCATATGTTTACTCATAGGGCCTCGCTGCACTATTCTCCAAAAGTGCAAAATGAGACTGAATCCTCTGCTAGAACATGGAAAGATACGTCGCAATATTTTTTGTCTTTTGTGCCTGTGGAGAGTAGTGGAGCGAGGCCCATAGTTACATCTGTGTACCATTCGGATAAATGGGCCGGGTTATAATCGCCTCTCCTGTAAGGCTCTAAGCCTCTAACACCTTTGTTTGAGAATGCGAACTTTTCGAATTCGAGCTTGCGGGGGATGGAGGCCCAAATTTTGTGGCCTGTCGGGTAATCCTCGTATTACACTGGGTGATCCACTTGTCACTGAAATTTGGAGTATGGGGGCGAGCCTCAGGGGGGGGGGGTCCTAAGTGGAGAGAAGGGCCACAAATTTTGTAACCCCACTGAAATTGGACGTATGGGGGTGAGCCTCAAGGGGTGGTCCTAAGTGGGAGAGATGGTTAACGGAGACCTTAATTTTCAGACAATGTGTCATGCCATTTATAACAAAACCCAAGAGTTGTTTTATCCAAACTTGCCAGCAATTCATAGAGTGGAGAGTCGTGGAGACCATACTAAAACTATAAAACAGCGAGGCAAAAAAAGTGCACTTTGATGTAAATACTAAATTTCACCAACATTCATTTTCAGAAATCTTGAGAAGTTTCAGAAATCTCAGCGGAGGACATTCCAATGCTCCAAATGAGACCAAATTTGGTACGCCCAAACCTCGACTCAAAACAAAAGCAGGCGCAAAAACAAAAAAACAAAACAAAACAAAAAAAAAAACCATAAAATTTGACCCGCAAACCCTAATTTCAGTTTTGGGTCTGTCAGTCAGGACCTGAAAATGGGGGGTCGCGTTAACCATTAGTGCCTTAGTGGAGAAAAGGGCCCACAAAGTTTTGTAGCCCCGATGTGACAGCCGAAACATCCGCGGGGTTCCGGAAGTCTTAAGCCTCTGAGCGCCTTGAAAATCAAGGTCCCAATTTGGTGGCCTGCCTGGCAATTCATAGGCTATCGAAGCTTGAATTGAGAGGGCTCAACCCGAAGGGGGTGTTCTTAGGGGAGGGAAGGGCCTGCGAAGTTTCTAACACCGTCCTGATGGCCGAAGAAGGATGCCGTCCGGAGGTTCCAGAAGCCGTAGGCTTTTACCGGGTCGGTATTCCGGGCAGACAGTCTCGGGAAGCGCCTGGAGGCCTAGGAAGGGGGGTGGGCGAGTTTCTGGTCGGCTGATCGGACAGATCGGGTGGCTTGGAAGTGTGAATGCACCCGTTGTTTTCTTGAGAGAGGGTGTGGAATTAACCAGCAGGATTAATGGAATGTATCTGGATGGAATAACATCCAGATTCGAACCTGTACGCCCCCCCACTGATTCTACGATTCTTACCTACCAAAGGCCAAAAGGTTGAAGAGATATCCAGTACCATTCATGGCCATGAAATATGGCCACAGAGCATTTTTGGCCGCCCCTTACCATAGGTCCATAGCCAATCCAGTCGTTGTAGTATGAAACTGCGCACCGTGTCTTTCAGGACATGAGCTACACACCCTCGTCCCCCTTCCCCC